GTCATTCTTCTTTTTATTTAAATAAATCTTCTTTTATTAAAAATAATGATTTTTTAATTGGCGATAGTGCATACCCTTTGTCCCCATTTTTAATAAAACCTTATAGTAGACCTAATAATGAACAGAAAAGATTTAACCAAATTTTTTCATCACATCGTATTGTAGTAGAACATTCATTTGGCAGATTAAAAAATAGATTTATGGAAGTAAGAGAAATATCTGTTAAAAAATTTTAACTGCAATCAATTTAATTGATTGTGCTATTATTTTACACAATTATTTAGAATTAGTTAATGATATATGAGAAGAATAAAATGATGATAACTTTACTGATGATAGTGAATTAAATAATTATAATGATGATCGTGATGAATTAAAAAGAGCTGGAAAAGTAAAACGAGAATGGGTTATGAGAAAATTATTTACATTATTAGAATAATAAGCAATTATCAATAAATATAAAGAAAATTTAAGTTTTATCATTATTTCTTATTATTATTATTGTTTATTACATTGCTTTAACTGTAAATCTAATTTTTTCATTGTTAATTCATGTAGTATCTTTGATTGTTCCCACTCATATTCCCATTTTTGCTTCTCAACTTCTAACTTTTTGATTGAAGTTTGAAATCATTATTCATTCTTTCTCGTTCTAATTCTAATCTTTATTCAGAGATTTTAATTTTAATTTCACTGATATTATTCATAACCTCAAACTAAGATTCAATATTATTTTTCTTTTTATTAATTACCTTTCTATTATTTTTCTCACCCTTCATATTTTGATTATTATCCATTTCATCACTGATATAATCTGATTTTTCATTTGAAAGATATGAAGGTGAAATATTTTCACGACATCTGAAAATTTTATCCATAATATCCATCCATTTCCAATCAACTCGTCCTGATCCACTTTGATTATTTTCTTGCTTCACTTTGCCATACTTTTCCAAGAGTCTATTCAATCGCCCTTTAATACTTTCTGCAGTTTTTGATTTAATAATATCTCTGGAAACCAAAGCATAAAATTCAGATTTTTTTCCCTTCTGATATTTATTGA